ACATTTTAATTACGTTTCATCAAATTCGCTTTGGTGATTTTGTCGATTTTTCTGTTTTGCGCAGCTTTCTCAGACTTTATGACTCAATTCTATTGTAATTTCTTCGTCTTTATTGCTTTTTCTAATAATCAAGTGCTTGGGTTAAGTGAATTCGCAATCTTTTTATATTTTGAGAAATCTTTTATTATTTTCAGCAATCTTTTATTAGCACGAAACTCAAACGCCTGCATGTAGATGCTTTGGCTGCCGTCCGCCAAAAACTATATGTACTGTGTGTGTGTGTATGTGTGTGTATGTGTGTGCGAACATTAATTAAAAATGCAAACACAATTAGTTGAATGAAAGCAAAATAGTAAATAAGAAAATTTGTTGGCAGAGATGAAAAATGGAAAAGTGAATGAAATAATGGAAGCGAGTTGCGACGGACACTGCAGTTCGCCATAGATACGAGATGTACAAGTACACAAACGTAAATATACCAAGACTGGAACGCAACGTTAAATTTCACGTTAGTCAAGAGAGGTTAACCGAAACAAAGATTTTGCAAGGGTTATCGTTACGGTTAAAACAGTTATCAAAATAAATCGCATATCGTTTTTATACGAAACGAAATGCTGTCGTTAATGTTGAGACGCAAACAGACAATGTTAAACGTTCTAATTGAAATCAGCTGTTCATATCATAGCAGGCAGCCATTTTAAAACAAACATTAGCGAAGAGTTTGAGCGATTCCAACATCGAAAACGAAACAAAATTATTTTGTTAAAATAATTTTTCATATCAACGAAACGAAATGGCATCGCTTTGTTGGTTGAGCATCCCTGAAATATATGTACATACATATGTGAATGTTTTACTTTACTACAACATAGTTTTCTTTCTTCATTTTCCTCTTTGATATTCTAGAGATTCTGAGTATTCGCAGTGGTAAAAGTACTGATTTTCCAAATGGAGACCTGCAAGGAAGACGGAAAAATGTTTGCTGAACTTTTAAACCTTTGACCTGAAATCACTTGCACACACAAATTATATTTAAATATTTTCTTAGCAGTCATTTAACCGTATTTTTTTTTCTTTCTTGATATTTGCATTTATGAATCGAGAAGTATAAATGTTAGTATTCCTGCCAACACAAACACATAATTTTTATCAAAAAGGATAGACAGAAATTTGAAAATTAGGCCACTTTTGTGTGTGCGTTGAGGAGGGGCAGTTGAGTGGGCAATGAAAATACGAATACGAAAATATATTAAGCACATATTTATGTGCATAAGCGATTTGGATGATAAGATTTTTTTTTTCTTGAGTGTCCGTAATCTCATAGAGGACGTAGCCCAAATAAACAAAATAGGATGCGACCGATTGCTTGCCTCAAGGGATAACGCTGCTTGGGAGCACTGCCGGCGAGTATCTAGACAGTTATGTAAAATAATAAAGCCGCCACATACAAAAAAAATCAGTAAATAAAAGTTCGTCTACGAAACTGATGCCGGAAGAATTTCGTATTTATGTAAGGTGTGTGTAAATGAACTCCTACTTTAAATCCAAGATGTACAAAAAAGAAAAGAATTAAATATATATGTATGTATGCAAAAGAAAATAATTTACCATTTATTTTAAAAGCAAGGAAAATTTAAGAAACAAAATTAGGTATGGCATGTAGGTAAGTGTCTTATTTCCACTAATTTGCATTTTATTTATTTATTTTTTTATTTAATTTTTTTATTTAATTTTTTTATTTAATTTTTTTATTTAATTTATTTTATTCAACTTTTTTGCTTAATTTTATTATTAATTTCTTGCTTAATTTTTTTAATTTTTTTTTTTCATTTTCAATCGATTTCTTATTAAATTTTTTATTAAATTTAAAATTTTTTTATTTTATTTAATTTATTTTTTGTTCCGCACAACCAAAATTTTTTCGTTTTATTATTAATTTGTCGAATAATTAATTCTTCACCTTTACTGTCACAATATGATCAATACAATTTTCTCATGTTTTAAATAGTACAGTTAAAAATTTCTTAATATTCATTAATTTGCTTTATTATTATTTATTCTTCAATTTTGAGCCTTTAAGCCTTTCTCAAAATTTTCAAACTATAAAATAAAATGGACTGTTTTGTCTGTTTGATTTGTGGTTTGAAAGTTTTATTTGTTAATGGTTTGAAAATATGCCATAAAATAAAAATGTGGTTATTTTTCTTTCTTACATGTAATAAAAAAATAATATTATATGCCTGTGCCCAATAAGTTACACTTTGGTAACAAGGAAACACATAAATAAAAACACATATACATATTTATATATATATTTTGTTGTGATAACATTAATTTAGGCTACAGCAATATTTTTCTTCACTCGTGCGTTGCTATTTTTACTGGAAGTGCGTAAATTATGCTGACAAAATTTATATTGGAAAAAATAAATGTATCTATTTACATACACATATACATTTTTTCTCCATTAAATTGCACTTCTGCTGCGGTTTTAAATTTAGTCGAATGGCAAAATATCTTAGAAGGAATTTATGTCAGTCGCAAGAGTTCAACTTGTCTGTGACTTATTTATTTTCTTGTGGTCACTTGTCAGATTTTATTTTAATTGTACAACAAGAAAAAATGTTGGCGGTTAATATGTATGTGTATGACACAAAAACAAGAAAAAAAATGTATAAAGCCGAGAATTGCAAAAAATATATTTCTATATATATATATATATACAGTTTTACGAAAAATAAAAAAATTTTGAAAATATAATAAATTAGTAAAATTTCCTTATGAGATCGAAAAATTTTGCAGTAAACTAAAATTACAGTTGGCAATGTATTTTTCTTTTTTTATTTAGACATAAGCAATTAAAATTAATTATAGTGGATTACAAGATCTTAAATTTATATTGACTTTATCGGAAAATCATATATTGTACAAGCAATGCGGAAATTAAAAAAACACTAGACTTGGTTCCAAGTCGGAAGACTACATCAATTGAATTAGGCATATCATGAGAAAACTTAACTAAAACGAACCATACATGTGAATATTTTCAGCGTTATCAATCCAGCTCTCGTGAAAAAAGAATTTAGAGAATAGCTCAGTCTCTGGTCCACCTGTCCAGAAATCGTAAACACAGTCTGGCAAAGCTTTAAGCCAATCGGTCGATAACTTTTCGAAGTTCGCGGATCTTTACAAATGCACATAAGATTTATATATTCTATAAGTACTCGTACAGTGACCAAGAGACTTCATCGTGCGATACTAAATTTTTTGTTGTAAAAATTGCCTACGAAAAATCCTACAAAGTCTGAAAGCTCGTTTAAAATACCTTTTAATATGAGATGTTAAAAGTGGTGTTTGAGTTGTTGCCCACAGTAGATTGGAGTCCCCAAATCTCCAAAACATCACCAGTTTAGAGAATAACTTTAAATATATTTGGATTCACTTAATTGAACTCTCATAAACAGAGCATTATTTGAAATTGTTTATATTTTACGACACGTTAGAATGCTAATATTGTTACTTCCGGTTCAATTTATCCTTAGTTACCTTCAATCTGCCTTCGTGCAGAAATTCACAAAGGCACGATTGTAATTTCTAAGAGCTAAGTAGCCAGTAGATGATCAATAAGTAAACTTGGCTTAAGGTATATTCAGCGAAAGGTTTTCACCTAGTCGAACGGAAGGTTGTATCGCCTCCGCGATATTTACGAAGGAGTAATAAATCTATCGTGAAATGTGGCAAAGCAAAATATATTCGGCAAAGGATTTTCACCGTACCGAAAGGAAAACCTGCGGAGGGATTTTCAATGTGAATTCTCTGAGTAATAAAAAATCGTTTTAACAAGGAAAACAGCTGGTTGATATTTTAGCCAACCCTAGGTACGCTGAGTATACCACGACCGAGAGACTTTGTTTCATAGTTCCCCATATGAAAGCTCCAACATTCTTACATATTCATACATATATACGAGGTGTGTTCAAATAGTATCGCGTATTTTGAATTTTCGCGGGTTATGTATAATCGAATTTCGATCTTTTTTGTGGCGTTATGGTGGCACTCATGTCTGCCACTTATGCCAACAAGCTCGGCCATTTTGAATGTTCACTTAATTGTTGACAGCTGCTTTGCTTGCACGTGTTTTGGATGGTCTTCGATTTTTACCTATTCAAAAAAATGGATCAAAACCCTTAATCAAATTTTGTGTGAAAAACGAAATTAAGTGCGCGAATGCATTCCGAATGTTAACTGTGGCATACGGAGAAGCTACCTTGGACCGAAGCAACGTTTATCGGTGGTATAAAATGTTTTCAGAGGGTCGAGAAGTTGTGAACGACGGAGAGCGTGCCGGATGCCCGAACACTTCAGCAACAGACAGTTTTCTTCGATTGCAGGGGCATCATGAGTTCTTGCCACAGGGTAGAACGGTCAATAAGGAATATTACCTGCAAGTTATGCATCGTTGCTTGTGCGCGACTTTTAGGCCAAAAACCACATATTAATGATGCCGCAGCCACCGTATTCCCCAGATCTGGCCCCCCGTGACCTTTTCTTGTTCCTTAAACTGAAGAGGCCCATGAAAGGACGACGTTACGCTACAATTAACGAGATAAAGACGTTCGATGCCGGAGGTTGAATTTTCAAATTACGGCCACTCGACGACAGCGAATGTCCACCGCTCCGAGTATATTTCGGACATTTGACGCCAAGGCAAAGTAAAAAAGCCATTAGCCGTTCGGATGCGGCTTAGTATAAACTGCAAATACACCACAAAGGATCCGCATGTAATGAACGTAAATCCAAGACCATCCGTTAAGAAACCATGGATAACAACGCCAAGTCTACCTGCTCCACAATTACCAACCAATCGCAACTTAAACGGAAGAAACTCCTGGCTTCCTCGACTCCGATATAAATAATAAGCCTTTTTTTTATGAAGCTCAAATGACCATATTTCATGTCAACGTCTAGTGCTTTCCCATCTGGCTTCATTAGTACACAATTTATACAATTTCTATTTCCTCTTGAATTTCTGCGCGGCCACTGCCCGCAGATCGGTTGGGTTTTCCAGTGCAAAATAGTGTTACCAAATGTAAAACAAATTGCCCCGTATCGAACGTAACGAGCTGCAAGGTTATCAAATTGTGTAATAATTCCCACATAAGCTCTCTGACTACTGCGTACGGAGCACTTGCTACGCCCCTCACGCCAACGTCGATGCCTTTGGCAATTGATGCGCCTCCAAAAGAAGACAATTAAGTTCGTTATCTTTATCGGCGTAAATCATTTTCGCCAATTTCCGGGCGAACTCCAATTAAATTTCGCACACACAAAGGCCGACGCCGCCTGAGCTGCCATTGACGACACAGACATACATACAAACAAATAGTTACGCAGAACAGAGGTGAAGAGAGCGGTAATTGCAGGTTTCCAATTTCGAGGCAGCAAATGAACGAATTAAATCGAATGAAGCGAGCTGTGTGGCGTCGTGTCTTCCTTCCCTCGAGCCAAAAGCGGCATTTAATTGCTGCGACACCAACGCACACATACATATACAAACATATATGGCAAAGTAAACACTAAGAGACCGTTTGGTTCAGATATACACAGCAGTGTACTATATAAATACATTACTATGTGGTGTAGTAAAATACATATAGAAATGTAAAATGATTCCGCACACTTACCGCACATTTCGGCAACGGTCCCTCCGGCATTTTCACCTTCCAACCCAGCAACGGTGGTATGCAAATCCCCGCTGACATCACCCACACGGCAGCAATCATGAATGCGGCACGTCCCGGCGTACGCGACTTGAGATACTGCACCGCCTTCGTGATGCTCCAATAGCGATCCAACGAGATCAGACACAAATTCATTATGGACGCCGTGCACAGCAGCACATCCATTGCGGAGTGAATGTCACACCACCAACTGCCGAACACCCAGTAGCCCATCAGCTCGTTCGCCAGCGAGAAGGGCATTATGATGAGACCGAGAAAGAAGTCCGCCACCGCCAGCGAGGCAATGAACCAATTTTGTATGTTCTTCAATGACTTCTCCGTCGCAATGGCAATGATGACCAGCATATTGCCCACCACAATGATTATCATCAATATCGTCACAATCACCGAAGCGACAACAATCTGCGGCAATGTGTAGCCGCTCGGATAGGTGCCGTTCCACTGCACTTCTGTTAGATTAGCGAAGATGTTCGTCGCAGCTGCCGATGACACCAACAACGTTTGATTAGTATAATTGCCGCCGCTAAAACCCAACAAGGTGCTGTTATTGAAAAAGTTGCTATTCACAAAGTAGTAAGAACTATCGTTGGCATAACTACTCGGACTGAGTGTGGTGATGGCGCCCTGCAAAGAGCTCTCGAACAGATTGGTGAGCCCGTCTTGACCACCACCGCCGTCGCCGCCGCCGAGGTCACTGCTTGCATCAACAGTTAGTAGTGGCGGGTTGAGGAGTGTCGTGTTGCTGATGGCCGATGGTGGCGCCGCACTGCTGTTACCGTTGGCGACGTGAATGGAACCAGCAACTTTAGTGATGTTGGGCAGGGTAGAGAGAGGCGGCAAACGACCAACACTGCCACCGCCACCTCCACCACCTCCTGGCCAACCGCCCGTCGCCGTGGCGGAGGTGGCAGTCACATCGGTGGGACTTGTTGATGAGAATATGGCGAGAAAGTCTTTTGTATTGATATTGCCCGTATTGATGTTGCCGTTAATGTCCGCGTCTAATTGGCTGTAATCCATTTTGTTGCTGTGCTGCCGTTGTTGTTGTTGTTGTTAGTTATTGGAGTTATGTGTCCGTTTTTTTTTTTATTTAATTTCTGTCAGTTTTTTTCCTCTCTGCTCTTGGCGTTTTGATTAGTGTGGTTGTTGTTGTTGTTGTTTATTTAATGCGCGGGCGTTTGTTATTACTATTATTGTTATTGTTATTATTACGACTACTACTTTTATGATTACGATTTACTACCAATAATTTATTTATATCTTTGGAAAATTACTTCTCAGTTGGTTTGAGCTGGCGTGGTGCTAGTTTCTCTATGTTGTTGTTGTTGTTGTATACGTATGAAGATGGGTGTTTAAGTTGTGACCTTGATGGTGACGTTAATGATGAGCGCTTGGTTATTGCGGCTCACAGCTCGAAGCTGAGGTTATCATTGCATTTATTGTTATTGTTGTTGTTGTTGCTCTTACGTAAGTTTTGTATGAGTGTGCTTTTGTCTTATGTTAATTTTTTTTATTTATTTTTTTTTATTTTTTTTTTTTGTAGAATTTGTATTTGATTTTTCTCTTAATTATTTTTCACAAATTTTCAAATCATTTTTGGATTTTTTTTTTTTGTTTTTGAACTCCGCTTTTTACAAGTTAAATGTTAGTTCTTGACTAGAACTTGAGTCCCTGTTTCAGTTCAATTTCATTTTATATTTTAACTAACCATTATTAATATTTTTTATCTGAAATTAAATTTATTTTATTAAATTAAATATAAAGATTGAAAAATATAAAAACCAAAAAAAAAAATAGAAAATAACGGTTATTAATGAAATAATTTGTGTTAAGCATAACTTTTAATTTGATAATTTTTTAAGCATTCAATCAAAGTAAATACAATAACACTATATATATATATATACTGCGCATTCCATTTGAAGATTTTTTTTTTAATTTGTTTCAACTAATTGCATTTCCTTGGACTGGACCGTAAACTACCAGCCTCAAACAATTAGGTTGTATTTTAAAATTTGAGGAGAAAGATGAGTAAGGAATTTCCGAGGAATATAAATAAATATGGAAATATAAAATTAATTATTTGTAAAAGTTATATACTCCAGAGGCCAAAAAGTGAGGTGAATTTGTTTGAAAAATTAAAAATCTTTATTTATTCTTCTATACCGATTTCGTCGTCTTCTAAATAGACCCCTGTCGATGCATTGCACTTATGGCAACGCTTTTAGCAATCATTGAAGTATGTCAAATAGTCACGTGCTGGTATGGTCTTCAGAACGTTTGACGTTTAATCTCCTCAATCGACTCAAAACCGTGTGATCGAAGTGGTCTCTTGAGTTTATAGAAGAACCAGAAGTCACATGGTGCTCAGTCCGGCGTATACGGTGGTTGGGGAACAATATTCGTGGAGTTCATAGCGAATTGGTCACGAAGAATGACTATACAGCACTCGACGGTGCATTGAATTGATATAAGAACCAATCAGCGGAACCAAACTAGATTTGACTTTTCGTGCGCCCAAACTCGTTTTTACAGATCCCTCTGATATTCCAACCACATCAGTAAGGTCGCTAACACTAAATCGACGATTTTGAGCACAAATTCTTTACTTTCATTGACGTGTTGCACATCAGGGCATTACAGGGGAAGATATATAAATATTGAAAATTATTAATTATTATTTGTAAAATTTTATACATATAAAATAGCGACTCCTTGTAACTGAATGGAGAGACAGTTGCAATTGTTCTAAGCTGCCGCAGAATGGCTTATGGATTTTTATGAGGAGCCATTATTTCATGTCAGGAATACACATGCAGGGCATGCCTGCCCAGTAACGATGGCAATTAGAAAAATAAAGTTTGTTGTTTTATTTGAATTAACTTCCTATCGTTTCGGACAATCGACGGACCCAGACTAAAATACAGTGACAGTCAGGTCTGCCCTGAACCCGAGAGTATTCACGGAAGGTCGCATTACATTGGTCTCTTACTCCAAACAGCAACTGATTTACCCATCAGCTGCAAAATGGAGAAGGCAGTTATTTATTTATATAAAGTAATTTATTTTTAATGCAGAAATGAGTGAAATGACTCAGAGTAATCAATATTGATGGAATGAGTATTAAATTCTTTGTACAAACATCGAAAGGGGTAGTGCATTGAGTATTGCATGAACACAATAAAAGGTGTTTAAGGTGTCTGGATGAGCTTAAAGTGATAATAACACCTCATTAATTTAGTTGAAAATAAAACTCAAAGCAACTCTCTATGGAAGAATAGTGGAAACTGCTTTAGTACAAATTTTAATTTATCACTACACAATAGTGTGATGGTGATAGTGTGCATTCCATATATCTGGGTACAAAGTGGTAATATTTTGGTCAGTGAAATCCTTAGCGCACATTTAATGAAAGCTGAGACTCCGCTTGCCTTCTTAACACAAGAATATATTTTATATCTTAAATTCAACTTAGTGTTAATTGGTTCAAAAAGATAATATAGGAGATGATCACTAATAAAAATAGTTAAAATATTTGATTATGTGAGAAGGATTCTAGCTGCGAACTAGAAAGTTACACGATTGCATTTTGAAAATAGCTCATTGGTTGGTTGGTTTGAGGAAGCTTATATTACGGTTAAAATAAAGTTACAGCATTTATTTTCAAAATCCCCTGCAATAAATAGTTTTTCTGAAGGGAATCGCAAAAAATTATTAATTAAAAATATTCATTAGGTTTATGCATCAATTCGTGCGGTTTTCTAAGAGAGGCCTCCTGTTGTATTATTTCGCGTCGTGTTCATCTGTGGCTATATTCATTTCAAAGGTACTGTTATTTCGCGTCGTTTTCAGTTGTTTAGCGTGAACAAGAATTTGTTTCATTCAGCTGAAAATATCGAAATTTGTATCAGATAAAGTGTTTTCTTCTTCATTGCTTTAACATGAAGAAAAGGGCTACCGAAAGCCAACGTATTTCACTGGACGTTTATGGTGACCATGCTTTAGTCGAACGAACGTGCCAAAAGTGGTTTGCACGATTTAAAAGTGGCAATTCGACTTAGACGATGGACAGCCAAAAATATTTCAAGACGAAGAATTGGCGACATTGCTCGACGTAGATGCAAGCCAGACGCAAGAAGAACTTGCAAAAGTATTGGGAGTTGATCAAACCAACGTTTCCAGACGATTAAAATCATTTTTTTTACAATAAAGTCTTAAACCGCACGAATTAATGCATACACCCAATAAAATAATAAATTTTTCTGGTTTGCTCTTCGGGACTTCTTTGAAAACGACAACGGCGAGACCGTTATTGCAACTGCAGGTGGGTATTTCTGAAATTCGCGAGGCGATCATTTGAAAGATATAAAGGAATTTCACGAAGAGTAAATAAGAATTAAAATTGTAAATGCATTTTAGTAATGACACCAAATGGATAACCCTGTGTGTAGATTTTTTGATTATTCGCTAAAATTAAAAAGCGTCAGTTTTTAGTCGCTGTCTCAAATCGTTAGATTTAATTTGGCTGCGCAACTAAACATGCAAATCATTTAATTGATTATTATTGTTTAGCTGCTTTTGTAAATAAATAAAAAAAATATTTGGAACTTAACGAAATAGTAACAAAATAAATACGATGATTTCCCAATGGCTCTGCTGTGGTTAGTCGCCACACATTGTGCTACAATTCATTTGAAAATCATTCACTATTCGAAAACTTTTCATTCATTACGTCGCCTGTCTTTTAATTGTTGCCCAATACAACAACTGTATGTGATTAATTGCTGGAGCAATTAAGCCATTTTACTTACATGCGATTTTTGTTCATGAAGTGCAAGTCTATTGAAATCAATTTTGCTGTTATTTAATTTAATTGAAAAACTGATTTATTCGATTTTGTTTCTTCTTTTTCCAGCATCCAATGCGCTTTTGTGTACAGATTTTGTTTTATTTTAAATTAATTTATTTTCATTCCATTAAATTATTTTTTTCACGCAAAATTTTAACAATTAATTTCTTTATTTTTTCTTTACTGTTATCATACTCAATATATTATTTCATTATTATTTTTATTCTCTTTTATCTTTTGCTAAATTAAATTGCTTATGCATTAATATTGTTTACCCGTTTTTACCGAAACTTGCGTTTATTGGTCAATTTTTTTTTAAATTTGATTGTTGATGTTGTTGTTGTTGTTGTTGTTTTCAAATTGCTCAATATTTAACTAATTAAACCTACTATTCGGTGCATTATTTACAGTACAGGCGACAAGTAAGCCGACAAATGCGTTTTCGCCGCTATCTCGCGACTTGTTATTGCTAATCACATATATAGTATATATGTATATGGTATGTGCATGTATGTATGTATTCATATACATTAATTGAAAATCAATATAAAATATTTATAAACGCACATGCATATTTACTAGCTATCTTTGTTCATATGTACATGTGTATGTTTGCATTTGTATCTACATCTACATAATTTCAGTTATTTTTGTCATTTGGTTTGTCATTTTTGTAATTTTTTTCATGGGTTAAGCTCTTACAGCAATTATTTCTTAACGCCGGCATTAATGCAAGTGCAACAGCACATTTACGTGTGTGCGTGCGTGTGTGTGTGTTTAGTTTTGAGTGCTCTTGACATTTATACTTGTGTGGGCTTATAGACGGACACTTGGGGACACACACAGCCGTGCATACGTGTAGGTCTCCACCGAGCAGACAAGCGGATTAGCTCAACAGCTGTTCGTTGTTGTTGTTGTTTGTCATATTAAATGCACGCCGCTGCTTAGTGTTTTGATTTTGTGATTTTTATTTTGGTATTTTTCATCTGCCTCTTCATGCTTTTATTCGTGTACACGTATGCGTGTGTGTCTATAATTTGTAGCTGTTCAAAAATAAATATCAACATGCTTTTTCAGCCAATTATTTATTGATGTTTATATAAAGATTTTCCGGAAAAAAAAATATTTTTTTCATTCAATTAATTTTAAGACACTTAGCCATTCAACGCAGCGTGGCGTGGCCCAGCTTCAGCGAAATGAGTTAATACTGTTATTTTT